TATACAAAGGTTTTTCCACTTTCCTCTTTTCAGCGAAATTTCAAATGAAATGCTATTGGTTTACTCATAGCGAAACACATAGAGTTAAGTAAGATGAAAGACAAAAAATTAAACTTGTTTAATACGTATACTGGGCCTAAAGCAAAGGAAATGCAACCGCATATGAGTTTTATTATTATTATAATATTTTATTAAATAATATATATTAGATAATTTTGAAAATGTCTGTCACGAAAGAGATTATAATTTATTTTAATGTTTAAATTAACGGTTTCGAGACACATGCCATTGTTAAACTTATTTTTACGATTATGGTCATATATAATCTAAGGAGAAACATATTTCACTTTCTTAACAAATAGACAGACAAGTAGACATAAATCAACAACAAAATGTCAGTTTATTATTATTATATATATATATATATATATATATATATACATAAACATAAGTATTCGTGCCTATTACCACATGTAACAAATCCCTTTAGGGATATATTGAGCAAAAAAAAAAAAAGGAAAAAAGCGAAACAAAAACAAAAGAACAAACCCAACTCCTCCTACGTTAAAATTTTCAATAAATTTCTTGTATGTTTTGAAAATTACAAAAAAAAAAAAAATTTTATACATTTATGAAATATTAAACCGAAATATTGTCAGTAATTTTTCTTTTTAAACTCTTAACTTAACTCATGCTGTCAATTGCTCTTGCATTTACATTCGTTATATTTAGATTCCTACATACATACGAACCTATACAAAATTTATGGTTATATCCCTGTATTATTATCTTAGCTCCTTTTTTGCCTCTTAAGCGAGGCGATCATAATGAAAAATTTTTGTTTAAGATTATAACGAACACAATACGACAAACATTTCAAGTGGTCTGAGATATAAGACTGTTGTAAACTTCCCTAAAAACATATTGTATACAGAACGTGATAAATTTTGTATTTTGGTAAATTTTGTTTTTTTTTGAAAATAAAAAGAAATTCCAAACAAACTCAGCAATTATAATTATATTAACAATTGATTTTTACAATCTTCTCTGACATTTTGAAAAGCCTTTAATGCTCAGTGTTTTGAAATTTTTGTAAAGCGTATCTCATCTTATTGTAGATTGCAGTTAGTTTAAATGCACCCACACACACAGGTATTAGCAAACATATTTACATATCTACATTCGTATATATATATAAATGTAAATGTAAACAGTTGCAGTCATATGCATAGGAAATTGTACTTATTCGAGTTCAGTAGAAAAGAGCAGGGGATTTTGACTTTGTCGCGCAGAAGCTGATTAAGAATATATATATATATATATATATATGTATGATGATACAGACAGAGGCTGTAATAAAGTATATAAATATTGGGTTTTTACACCACATTTATCATTGTGCAAATTTAATAACCAGAGATCTTTGTTCAAATACATCCTAGAACTTCATGCTAAATATGACCATAGAGAGCAGTGGTCTTGTGTAAATATTTATGTTTAACAAATTTAAAGAAGATTTTAAAAACATATGAACAACAGTATAAAAATCTTTCATCCTTTCTTTTCAGTTGTTTTTTTATTTGTTTTCATAAAATATCATAAAATATATAATAAATCTTTACGATGCCAGGAGTAAGAAGCTATAAGACTCACATTATTTACAATAGTTGAAGAGTTCTAAAGAAATTTCTCCACTTCTATGATATATGATACCTTAAAGCGTCATTTTTACATTCATCATCGAAAAATTAAAGTATGTTTGTTTCATCAATACGTATGCAATATATATACATATATATATGTGTATGTATGACTTATAGGATCTTTGAATTTTTCTTCTGAATATTGCATACGTATTGACCTATTGACCTGTATTGACCTAACTAGTATCAAAATTTCAATTGGATCTGCATAGTGCTTATACTAACCGTTTTCCCGGTTTGCAAAAATAAAAAGATTGTTTTCAAATATGGCAAGAAATGTGGAAAACTCATTCAAAATCGTGCGCGCCTATAGTGTAGCCTAGACTGCAAGCGTTTGTTTTCTCCAAGTTTTTGCTGATTTTCTATGTGTGGCCCCATAATGTCGAAAAATGAGGAAAACCCGCACGCCCACTCAACAGTATAGATTATCGAAATTTCTCTTCTACTCACGTAAGGGAGATGATGTGAATGGTTCAGCCACAGATAAAGCATATAAGTTTCTTACTCGTTCGTAATCGTAATTTGGCTCGAAACGACAAATCGTTGAGCAACAACTAACAACTTTTTATCAATGTATACATATATCAATCAGTATATCAATATATACATATATTGATCAATATATAGTATATAAACTGGTTCCTTTTATTTTCCTTTCGATCTAGCCCGAAGTAGACTGGCCTCCATATCTCTGTAGTTGTTTTTGCATATCTTGCGGAAATAAAGAAAGTAAAAGTTTGCATACGCAAAACAAAGAATTCAAGTATGAAAAAAATGCAATAAAATGTGAAACAATTTAGTGAAGCGAAAGACAGCGTGTAACCATTTTGAAATAACCGAAAAGCATAGAGAAATGCCACTCATTCCAGCTGGTGTTAATCTCAAAAAGAGTTTCAAAAAAAAAAAAAAAAAAAAAAAAAAAAAAACAAACGACTTTTATTGCATATGCCTTTCATACCAAAAAAAGAAGAAAAAAAAAAAAAGAAACTAAAATAATATTGATGGATATCAAATATTCGGACGGAATTTTTTTTAATCATCTTTGAGATTGAATATTATTTCCATAAAATTTCTGTCAATCTATCTTAATATCTCAATATATTTAAGAAGCTTAAAAACAGCCCCGAAAAGTGAGCAAGCAAATCGTTTTATAGCCAGGGATGATTTTCTCAAATCCTATCTCCATCCACTTTTATTCCGAAATGAACAATTATACTTCAATGTTTGACAATCAGTCAATAATTGCAGAAAGTAAGAGAGACCAAGAAAAATATTTGACTTATATTCCTCAATACAATCTCCCTCAAGAACGATGTAATCCAAGATCCAAGGTTCAATACTTCTTTTATCGAATTTTTCTGGTACATGTCAATGATCACAAAATACTTTACAACTTCCGCAATTATCTCATCATTTGTTTTGAAAATCTCTATTTTGAAAAGGTCATCAGATAAGAGGAAGCTAATACGTTACATAGTCGGACAAGAATTGTCTGTTGAATACTCCACATCACCTTGTGTAATATCATTCCTTATTTAACTTCGTCGTCTCAAGACAATAAAAATAATTACTTCTTACCAAATGAAAGCTTACCTTATGGGGACACGGATCCGAAAAACGAAGCTTAGTTTAGTCCAAAGCTATGATAGCATCTTCTATATTAAATCGCGATTTTATATCAATTTTCATTATAAATGAAAACAATTAGATCTTGTTACTATACTATAAAGCCCTATGTTTTGTTTAGGCCCAAGTCAGAGCATTAAATGTTAACAATATAGCTAAAAAATTGCAACCGATAAATACACAAATCAGGAGATATGAGGCAGACAGACAGACAAACGGACATGCAAATTTAAACTCATGGAAAAAGTAATTCTCAATGGCGTGGCATAATAAAACGTGTATCCATCTTCAGTTTCACTTGATGTTACATATATTCGCGCAGAAGTTAATATACCCTGTTCCGCAATAATGTAATAAAACTAAGTATATTAACTACTTTTCTAGACCTTTTCCGTTTTTGTTAATCGCTTGTTCATTTTTTTCATTATTGAAGGTCACATCTATTATTTGTTTATCTCAATCGGTTCAAGAATTGTAAATTGAAAGTGAAAGTTACGCAATCACATACATATATATCTATGTGGCTAAATCGTTTTTACCCATACGTTAGAGCTTTTAACGTAACTTTGACATTTCTTTCTTTACAGTCTGCGCTGATTATATGTCGGCGAACATTGCTTTCGTGCACAGATAAAAATGTATTTAAATAAGAAGAAGAAAAGAAGAAGAACAAGAAGAACAAGAAGAAGAAGAATAGCAATAATAGGAAGAAGAAAAACCGAAGAAGAATAAGGAGAACAAGCGAAGGAAAAACAAAAAGAACCGAATAAGAAGAAAAAGAAGAAAAACCGAACAATAATAATAATAAGAAGAAGAAAAAGAAGGAAAATTAGAATAGGAATCGGATTTATTATTAATAATAATAATAATAAGAAGTAGAGTAACCATAATAGAAAGAAGAAGAATTGAAGAACTATAAGAAGAAGAAGGGAAGAAGAAAACAAGAAGAACGTGAATAAGAAGAAAAAAAATAAAAACCGAACAATAATAATAATAATAAGAAGTAGAAGCAAAAGAAGAATAAGAAAAATTAGAATAGGACTAGGATTGAATAATAATAATAAAAAGAATAATAATAGTACTAATAATAATAATAATAAGAGAAAGAAGCGAAAAAGAAGAAGAATCGCATTATAATAATATGTAGAAGAACCAAAAAAGAAGAAGAATTTTGTAGTCCGTTCTTTAGCTAAATGATGCGCAAATATCTAACAATTTCGATTATAGAAGAATATCCAGTCTATCTGAGCTCCTCTTCTTCTTCATCATTTACAAGAGTATAACCTAAACAGGTTACCTTCCCTTTTATTGATTCATAAAATTCTATATGTATTTTTGAGTTTTTTCCAAAAACTATGATTAAACTTATAAATCCGCTTATTCTTGCTTGGTCGTATCCAAATGCAAACGCATTAAATTTATGAACTTGATCTGTTTTATTCTGCACACTTGTGCAGCGACAAATGAAACCGGTCATCTGAAATATAATCACTTGCCCAGTGCCACAATTTTATTAAAAATCATTTTTTATATATTTATATATATATATGTATAAAAATATATATATATATATATATATATATATATGTATATATGTACATTTTTAATTTTGATTTTTTTTTTTTTTTTTTTTTTTGGAATGAGCCGAGTAAAGTTGCAAAACATGATTCATTATCAGTTGAGCTTCTTAGTTTTCAACTAAATACAACACAACGGTCTGACCGTTTTTATCGTTTGTTGTAACACAACAGTGACAACAAGTCCTCGGCGACCATTTCCACTTAGCCTGACAACTATTTCAAGTAATTATAAGCGATAAACTCTGCTCACACGATCTACCGTAACATATATGACAAAATGTACTAAATATAAATATGTATAAATTGTATTGACATGCTCTACGCTATGCTACGCTATGCCATTGCTTTGCTACGCTATGCAATGCTAACACTGTGCTGTGCTATGCTGTGCTATGCTATGCTGTGCTGTGCTGTGCTGTGCTGTGCTGTGCTGTAGTGTGATGTGCTGAATATATGGTACTATATACTAAATATTACATACTATATATACTAACGCCACACAGAGGAGTCGTAAACTTGTTTAGGAAGATCTTCCTTTCTCTCTTCATGTACTTTTCCGTGTGTTGTACGCCCGCGTTGTTGTGCATTTAATTTATGCCTGAATAATCATACAAGGCATAAAGGCAGGCGGATATGGTCTGCCACATACATTGTCCAGTCACCCAACGGGTTTATCAAAAAGAAAAATAAAACAAAAAATAAAAAAAATAAAAAATAATTTCAATATTCAATGTAAAATGATTAATACAAAGTCTACTGCTGCAGATGTTCACAATTGCTGTTAAGCAATTGTTGTGTTGTTATTTTTGATTCTTGTCAAAGTGGTGATCGTTAGATCTTTCGAAGAGGGAAGTCGTTGCAACTGCATGCCGTAAGGTAAAGATTGAAGTTAAAATTCGCTGCATTTGTGTATGTAAGCACTGTATCTACATACATATATATATATATATATATTAATAAAGCATTGATTAAAGATTTTTTGAAACGACATTACTTAATGAAATATTGAAGAGGAATTCCGTTCAAAATTTTATGAGAAAGTTCATGATGCCTTTATTACTCATACGATAAGAAACTTTACGGTCCATTGCATTATTTTTCTTTTTTTTGTGATCTCCTTTGCAGATAAGAGTTCAACTCGCCTTCCATACGTCATAAGTGCAATAACTTTTATTTCAAAAAAAAAAACGAAAAAAAAGTAATCATTTAATAAAATATAAGCCTGAGTTTCAATCTTGATTTGAGCGATAACCCTTCAAAAATAATGGAAATTAAAAAATTTATTGTATATTTAAAGAAAATGACTTAAAGATAAAAAAAAAAAAAAAAAAAACAAAAAAAGCAAATTTTAAAAACTGCAATTTTTTTTTGAAAATATGGCATATAGGAAATGATCGACACACTTTATTTTCAATAGGATTCGCCCTGGGTTCAACCCACTACAACGTATTAAACTTTGTCCAAATATTTTGGGCATTTGGACGTGCAAAGACATTAGTCAGACGGGCAGACGGACACAAAAATAACTTATTTCATTTACATCAACTATTTCTCGCCAAGATTAACGGAATTCGCAGAAGTGAGCGATAGTCTTTCAGTGTTACCTGAACCAATTACGAGATATGAGATATTCAAAGTATGTCCAACACTCTCCATACTGTTGACCATCGATCAATGTTTAGGCGTTGCATTGGCGCGTGTTCGACAAAGACAAAAGAAGTCTGTCAAACAATCAAGTTCTTTAGTAGAACCAGTCGGCATTGTCAGTGCCATAACGTATATGTCCTGAAGTTGGCCGTACGCCCTCATGACACTCCGGCAGAACTGCTGTCCTTTAACCGCGCTGGCAGTGCCTACCGTTCACAATCCCATACCTCAGCAAATTATTTGTTAAAGCACTTAACTAGTAACCTTTTCGATAAGTGACGCGCACGCACATATTTAAAGACTCAAACACAATACTCCTATATATTGCAAGGACCAAACCTACAAATTCGTTTTCGTCCCATACAATTGACGGCAATTATCAAAAGCAAAATCGTTAATATTTAAATAAACGTTAATTGCTTTAATCATTTGTATAGAAGATCTCGTATGTTCGCTGGACATCATCACTCGATGGTATAAAATTGATGCGATCTTGCGCCACTCAAACGGATAATACCTCATACTACAATTTTGAGATTCTATTTCAGTTAAAATCTTGAAACTTTTCTCCTCCCATTATACGCCCCAATTTCTTTATCTAAGCATATTCGTGTCCTCATCGTCTTGATCTATAAATCAGACATGCAATCAGTCTTGATGGTTTGAGCTTCTCCCCCCAACCTCTCACAAGATATAATACAATGTCAATCTCTTCCAGGCATCAATGACGAGGAGAAAAGGCGACGCCTAATAATGCATATTTTGAGAATCGAGAGCAAAAGCAAGAGGAATATATAATTTATCGTAGGTCAATAGGCAAAAACGTATTATCTATCATGCGTTATGCTTATGGAGTTAAACCAGGGAAATGACCCTAACTGGGCAATGTTAGTAAAGTACAATTTTTGGCGCAACAGGAATAGAACCCATGAGCCTTATCCGTCGACAGGCAGCCTTCCTAAACGCTGGACTACGCAGTAGCCAAGTACAACTAAGCAATTATTTATTTAATTATTTATAGTTAAAATGAAGAAGAAGAAGAAAAAGAAGATGTGATATCAAAAATGATTAAACGCATTGTCATCTGATTTGTGAACAACAAACACGCATTGCCTTTAAGAGTTTTTACTCTTTTCAAAAAAAAATCAGAGCAGGGTTGTGTTCGCATTATCTAAATTAAAAATAATATTCTATTGAACGCAAGCAGGTTTCGAACCTGCATCCGTAGTAATCATGCCATTGTGTTATGCGACTGGTTAAACGCATTGTCATCTGATTTGTGGAAAACCAACACGCGTTACTATTAACTGTTGTTGCAATTTTTTTAGTAGATCTTCCTGTCAAAACAATAAACCGTTCTGGACTCTGGTGCTGTTTAGGCCCCTACTCTGTGGGGATTGTCTAACTCGCCAGGGGGCGTAGTACGCTTAAAGTGGCTTGGGCCACCGTGGGGTTAAGCCTTTCAGGCAGGAACCCACGTTAAACCCTTGCCACAAATTCTGTCAAAACATGCCTTCCCTTTGGCCGATTAATAAAACCCTTTCGTAAATTATTTAATACATGCAAAAATGAAAAAAGGGACTTGACGGAAAGGTTTTTCCCCTTTTACCTATTTTTACTTTTGAACATATGTCACGGATGCCTGCGGGTGATGGTGGTAATTGATCAACAGCCCAGTGGAAGCCTTATGGCGGAAGCAAGCGTTGATCAATTTGTGAGTCCTGACTGCTTGGGTACGGCCCTTCGGGGAGTACTCGTGGTGGCTGTGGTTGGCAAGTTCCTAGCCAAACTGGAACAGTCGAGTGCAGCTAGGCCTCACCACTGACCAGAGTGGGGTTTATTGTTCCATACACAATAAACCGTTCTAGACTCTGGTGTTGTTTAGGCCCCTACTCTGTGGGGATTGTCTAACTCGCCAGGGGGCGTAGTACGCACCGTGGGGTTAAGCCTTTCAGGCAGGAACCCACGTTAAACCCTTGCCACAAATTCTGTCAAATGAGCAAAGGACTGTATTCGATTTTAAAGCATTGTTGTCTATCTGCGTCGTTTAACATTTAGAAATTTTTATGTCAATGCAGCAAATTTCGTTAATATTATCATATTGATGAAGGTTGTTTTTTATATAATAACACATACATAAATTTGCGACAAACAAACATACAATCCAAAAATCCATTCGGGAAAATGAATATAATTTCATCGGTTATCCATAGATGAGTGCAGCTGAAGTCCTTTGGCGTATTATACAGATTTCTTTAAACTTGGTATACCCTGTGCCATAAGTGACGTAGAGTGTTATTAGCATTGATAGAAAACTATTCCTTAGAAAATATATAGAATGAAAAAAAAAAAGGAAAGTGAAGCAAAAAGGTCAAGTCATAGAACTATGGTCTTCTTTCAATTGATTCAAAATCTGTAGTAGATGTAGAAGGCATTAATATGCCTTTAAGGATCTTTGATGCATATTTGCAAGAGCTGAAAGCACACCCTTGTAGACCTGTGAATTTATTACAAAAAAAAAAAAAAAAAAAAACATTCAACAGAAAAGGTAAAAAAATAATAATATGAAGTAAAGGAATGATTTATAGCTTATGACAATTCATCTTTTTAGGCATTTCTTAAGCAGTACAGCTTGGGTATAGTAACTTTCAAATTAATCAACTCCCCTTACGCAATTGAAGTGTCGTAGTTTTAATCTCGTACTATTCCACTCTGCCCTTTTATCGTTTCTTGTTCCAATTCCTCGATAGGAATTTAATAGCAATACTCGTTGTATAGCCTATCTACGATATGTAAATCTTCCTCTATTTGCATAATTTGCAGATACCTCACAATTAATTATATAAACCATATATACAATATAAACATATTTCCTCGATTTAGTTATTCAATTTTATACGGTTACGTAGAAACTGTGAGCTGATCTATCAACCGGTTTAGCTCACTTTTGAATTTGAAATGGAAAGCGTGATAAGAGACACGAAGAAGAAGAAGATGATCTTGGTCTTGCAAACGAAATTTTTTAAATCATAAACGGAATTTCAAATGCCGGACAGATAGACATGAATAACAGGATGCGGATGGATCATAAATATATATGAACTTTAAGTAGACTCCAAACTTTATTTCCGATAACTAAATATATATCAGACATCTCTAATGAATGTAATGAAAGTGAATTTTATTGTTACGTGAAATTCTCTTTCCTCGCTCATCACGTTTATCCTAATATTCTTTAAGTCAGAGTCATACCACGGAACTGGGAATTTACTTAAGCGCGTAAACTTTACGTATAAATTTGTAACAGTCATCAACACAACACTTCAATCTTCACCTTTGCTTTCTTCGGCTTGAGCAAAATCTTCACTTATAAACAAGTCCCGATTATCAAGTTTCTCGCTGATGTTTTTTGATCATCTCGCCCGCTGCATTTCCCCATTTACACGAATTACGGTACAGCGTATTATCAAGTTTGTGCGGATGCATGTGACGCACATTTTATTAGACTGATCGATGTATGTCCGTCTGTCCATCCATCCATGAATTCAATAGATAGGTCGCAATTCTTGAAATATTTTGATAAAATTTGGTACACTGACGTACATTGACTGATCGGCGAACGCTATTGCAAATGGTTAGCATCGGTCCACTTTTCCGACCACTCCCGATATAATGCCTCATCTTTAAAAGTCGTTATATGGGAAAAAATTACGTTTTAGCAGGGCAAGGCCGACCGTTAGATATCCTAAACTACTTCGCCTGGTATTATTATTAACTTGTTTCGTCAATAATATACCAAAAACTATACATTATTTCCCTGCAAAGCTGTACCTTTCATGAAAGCCCGCACACTGAAGAATGTGCAAATCACAAATGACGTGATCCAAATTCAGCAAACCTAATTCACTTCCCAAAAATTTTATTATTTTTCAGATTCCGTTCTACAAACCTAGAAACCACATGTTCTCCCCATACAAGGACTGACTTTTCATAATGATAGCTCTTACATCTATTTATTGGGGTCTAACAAATACACCTATCTGGTCCAAATATCTTACCGTTAATTTTTTGCTAAATTGCTTCTATGAAATAATTTTCATTAGAAAATATTAAAAATTAAACCTTTTTTTCTGAAGGGCTACCTATTCATGAGAAATCTTACATGGAGCGCGTTCCAAGAAATGGAACCATGGAGTTCAAATAGCGTCCACTTAGTTTTTATGTGGAATTACTATCGTGAACAAAATTTTTACCATAAGACATTAACAATTAGATCTTTTCGGCATAAACGGATTTAACCTTTCTCAGATACCTTATATGCGCCGGTATACCATGGTCCAAATTTGGTAAGGTTGCTTTTCTTTGTCAATTTACTTTTATGAACAGATTAACGCTAAGAAATATTGAAGACTATAACCTTTTACCACAAAAAGACGCAGTTTTCGTAGGATCGGGTATAAGAGAAGGGTTTGAAAAAATTGTCACACCCGAACTACATTTTTCATACTAATTTACAATGTCGAAAGACTATTCTATATATTATTGGCAATAAAACAACTCTCAAAATGGTGCGTTAGATGGCAAATGGCCGGAAAAGTGGAATGACCGGAACCATTTTCAGCAGCGTTTGTCCTTAGTTCAAAATACGCGAGTGTACGAAATTTCATCAAAATATTTCAATATCAATTTGTAGCTTGAAAACAAAGTTACATGGACAGACAGACAGACGGCCATATGGACAGACGCTTACAACGATCGGTATAATGAAAGATGGGTCTATCTTAAGTCCTTAAGTCTGGGTGTTACATACATCCTCACAAACTTAATATATTCTGATATACAAGGCGTGTAGGGTATAAAAGAGAAAATTAATATTTTCTAAAAAATGTATTTGCAATACAAAAAAAAAAAAAAAAAAGATGAGAAAAATGTCGCATATATGTTTATATGGTAACGTATGTATGTATGTATGTATGTATATAGGTATGTATGTTTAGTCTATTGTGTGCATAATACTTTTAAGCTTTTATTGAACATTGAAAATGAAGAGTGAATAAAAAAGTGGAGAAAATTATAATCGCTGATAGAAGATCAATTTAAATAATTATGGCACACCTCGCCGTTACTTGTTGCTTACGATAAATGGGAAAAGAATATAAAACGTTAGCGTAAACCAATCAAAGGGAAACGAATGTTGTTGTGATTTATAAACGTGCCGTATCAAAAAAATGCACGGTACGAGTATCGAGCATTCTTATACTTATCTGAAAGAGTAGACACTTTTAATATTCCGTAGATGTGTGAGAATATTGTTGGCTAAGGCAGCGCAACAACAACAACAATTGCGCTGATCGTAAATCATTTTCATATTTCAACTAAAAGGGAAGAGAGAAGAGACTTAAGAAAAGATTTTTTTTTATTATTATTGTATTTATATTTATATTTATTTGCGTGTAAATGTTGATATTGATAGCAATCAAGATAAATTGTCATTTCTTTTACGTCAACATTACGCCTGCAAGAGATGACAATGATAAGCGGACTACAAGAAGAAAAGATAAACTAGCGGGTGTTGTTCTTTTTTGTATATATAAAAAAACCGAAAAGCAACAAATATATATACATATATATATATATAAATATATATATATATATATATGGTAGAGCAATTTAACCTTGATTGAGTTGCACAAAGATACATATTTATATTCAGACTTTGTGCTGAGTCATCGTTGATCAATCGCCTATCAGTTGACAACTGGGCATGCAACGTATTGCATAGCAATGCATTCGATTGTAATGATGAAGAAAATCTGTGAAAATTGTTTTGCGCTTTACGCGATTTCTCAAGTGTAAAAAGCGTGTATAGATTTAAAATAAATATCAATGATCTGTCTGTAGAAAGGCGCATACGTGTGCTTAAGAGATATTTCAGTCGATATCTCACCATTTGAATGCTTCTCTTACTGCCGATATGAATGGAGGAGTCTAGTGAATGCTTTACCGTCTAGCCTGCCACAAAAACAAAATGATAAACAAAAAACAAAAAACAAAAAACAAAAAACAAAAAAAACAAAAAAAAGGGCTGGCTTCCAATATCGTTTTCTTGACTTTTGCGGCATTTCTTACTTTTTTCTTTTATTTTTACAAAGACATTTTTTCTCTCCTCCTCCTTAAAAGCGACGAAATGAATACATTACATCGCATGAATTTGCTCGCATGCAAAATTGAATGGTTGACTAACGAACTGTAATTTGTTTAATTTTTCATTGCATTTTATGGGTGGTGTTGTTGAACGACCAACACATCAGCAATCACAACAACATATATATATATATAAAATATTAAAAAGTAAATTTTCATTGGAATTTTTTATGGTCTTTTGCAGTTTAACATATAACGACGTACAAGAATGAAGAAAAGCAAAAAGGAACAAGGAGAACAAAACAAGAACAACTTTGGAAGACAATCAGATATAATGGTTACAGAAAAATTAACACTAACGGAGAAAAACAACGCTCACGCCACCGTTTACCGGGAAACAACAAAACCGAAGAAGCCAAAGCGTAGGGATAAAAGCGATCTAGGGCCAGATTTTGTTGCTCCGGATGGTGGCTGGGGTTGGGTGGTATGTCTTGCCGCTGGTTTTAGTAACGTAAGTAAACATACCATGTATGTAAAACTTATGCAAATTTTTTTCGCAAAGCAACTTTTTTTTTTTCTACATATTTACACTTTTGTCAAAAAAAAAAAAAAAAAAAATTTTACATAAAATTTTTTTAGAAAATTAAAAAAATTTTAAAAAATTTAAAAAATTTTATTATCTAACAACTTCAAAGTTGCCAGAAACATGAAAATTTCTTGCATACCGGCAAATCGATTCAATGACACACCTTGGCCCAGTACTACATCACATAAACTATGAGCATCTCGGTTTTTCAAAACATATAAACAATTGTTTTTTCGCTCACTACTCGTAAACAACAAAGCGTCAAAAGCCTCTTATAAAAATATAAAAAGAATGCGAAAGATTGACTCCATAACTCAATAAACTATATAAACTGATCATGTGCAACTGTATAGTATCCGTAGTAAGCGTCGTTGCGTTCCCAAAAATTAAGATATCTCCTACAAAATTTGGGAAAGAATTCGATGAAAAGACACGCCTATGTAAGAAAAACCGTGAACACTTTTGCTTTCCGTATTTGTTTATTTGTTACTCGTAAACTACGACACATATTATACCTTATCTCTCGTACGGTAAAAGGTATATATTAAGTTTGAGCAGATGTATGCACCGCAACGACTTTTATTATGTTATACGATTCAGTACAATTTTCGAAGCGATTTAAGCATGTCTGCTTGTTTGCGTGATATCTATCCATGTATTTTATAGATAAGCCTTAAAACATAACATTCTTTGCTATGATTTGATCAAACGAAATCATAATGCCTCGAATCATTTTTCCGGCTACATATCGCAGAAGGCCTTTCGAAAACTCATTATATAAAAAAACAAAGAAGAAAATTATGCTTATCTGCGATCGAGTCTTTTATACACACTACACATACGCGCATACACGAATTTGTTTTTAAAAAAAATAAATTTTTGTTGTTTGTTTTTAAAAACAATTCGTTTTCAAATTCGAGAATAATTAATTTGTTTAAAAGTCCAAGTCCTTGTAAAATTGTTTTTATAAAACCGAATTTTGAAATTTTACCATGCCCTCAGTCATCTCCTTCTTCTTTATCTATTCGATAAATTATTTAATGGAGTGAAAAAAATGATTTTTTGAAAAACTTATAGCAGTAACTGTTACCGTGTAAGGGAAAAGTTACTTTTTTGGACCTAGGGATGAAAAGCGATTTCGAAAGAACAGACACTACATCTTTGACCTCAGAGAGAAACAAACATTAGATCTTTGTTTTCAACAAGACGCACTTTCACATACCTATCAATTAGAATAAGTGTTTCTTGTAAAGGGAAAAACAATTTATATTCAAGTCAATAATTAATACTTAATGTTTCCGATCTCGCTCTAAGGTGAGAAAAGCACTCACTCAACTTCTGCATATAATGCGTCCCTAGAATAAACAGAATACGCCATCAATATGTAGTCAAACACGCGGGCCGATCCGAACCATTATCAACCATTCACAACTAGTGTAAGGTATAAATAGTGGGAAAATTATATTCGGCCACGATCGAATCTTCTGTGCCCTTCACCGTTGCTTTAAAAAATTTAAAAAAAAAAGGACAAAACTAAATTTTCGCAATCCGAAAAATTTCCGTAGGCGTGGCTGCTCTTTTCTATTCCTATCCTGTTCTAATTTATAATAAGCTAAAAAGTCGAAATGTGCTCAGTTAGTAAAACATGCAGACGCGAGTCGTTTTACCGATTTGTCGCATTTTCAATAGCAATCTGCGTGCAATGTTTACTTGGGTGTTTGCCAAATTCAAAGCGGATATATATTCATTTTTGCGATCAAGATTATGTTTATTATAGTAATTAACAGACAGATGGACGGACGGGTTAACAAACATTTTTAGAGCGATTCAGATTTGATACCGATTAATAATAGTACGTAGACTTTGCCCTATGCCGTATGCCGTATGCCCTATGAAGCATCTTTTCAGATGCTACAAATGTTTTGATGAAACAAAAATTTTTTAATATATTATAAGACCGAGTAGGCGTGGTCGATTTTTTCAGCTATCGTACACATAAGTATGTGCACTTTTTTACCGTTGTAGCTGTTGTGGTTTATCGGTAATGAATGAAAAGAACAATTTTTTCGTGTTCTTGCAAACAAGCGGTGGTTATATTGAACTGCGATCAGGTCCAACCCGCTTGCAAGAACTTGCAATCTTTTTGCCAAATCTAAAACTGTGTAACACTGACTTTACGCAAACAAATAGACAAACAAACGGACAGACGATCGGACGGGCATTCTTCAATCGCTTCAATTGCTTGATGTTGATCAAGAATATATACACCCTGCGGGGTCGCGGAAGCTTTCTTCTGGCCGTGGCAAATGTGTTGACAAAATGAATGTACCCTTCATCTTTCGGTGACGGGTATAATCCAATTAAAAATTTTTCTTTAAATACTTTGATTATATATTTTATATATTTTAATATCTTTTTTTTTATTTTTTTTTTATTTTTCAATTATTAAATTGTAAGTAAATTAAAATTTTTTTTTTTGTTTTTTTTTCATTATATATTTCTGCAGTTTTCAATTTTTCCCGCCTTGCAGCAATATGGTTTTATCTACAGAAAACGTATGAAATTATTGGGCTTTGATGCGAAGGAAACGACCACAATCGTTAATGTGGTTATGGCGATTTCGTCTTTGGCGGGCATTGTTAATGGGGCGATGTTTAGAAGATTTACATTTCGCCAGGTGGCCCTTGTAGGCAGTATGCTGTGTTTTGCCGGAATCTTTCTTTCAGCCTTTTGCATAACATTTTTCCAGTATGTGATCTGCTTTTCCTGTATCTATGGTAGTTTCCATCTTGGTTGACCGGTGAAAATGTTGAAAGTTAACTTTGAGTTTTTCTAGGTATTGGTCTTGGTTTAAGTATGGGTGCTACATCCTTAGCGGTTAATACATATTTTAAGAATAGACGTAGACGAGCGACTGGCTTCTCTTGGACAATAACTGGATTAGGTGCGATTATATTTCCACATATATCAACATATCTATTGATGCTGTATGGCGCCCAAGGCACTATATTAATTTATGCCGCTATTGCATTAAATTCAGTACTTTGTGCTATTACTCTACAGCCCGTTCTATGGCATGTATCGAAGCCGGAAAAGCACAAATTTTTAAATGAAACGAACGGAAATTTAACTGAGAAGAATCAACAGGTTTATGAATGCAAGTTCTGTCAAATACAAAAACGTGAAAAACGTGGCATATTTTCTTCTCAATATCTTTTCAATGACGACGATCCCGATAGACCTGGGTATGAAATTACTGAACCAGGTACGCCGATGTTGGCCAGAGCTAACGATGGCTGGTATGGCTCAAAATTATCATTAACAACCGAGAAATGTTCTCGTTATCAGGCATCGAAAAGTTTAAGGAAAACTTCAAGGACAGAGAGATACGAAAATGGTCATAACGGGGGAATGGAAGAAAGCAATTCATTATATAAACCTAATTATTTTAATCGCGAGAGAGAAGACTTAGAACGTTATATAAGTAAAACTAGCGTTTACTCGAAACCCGATATGGACGAATGCCGTTGCACTTGTGCCGAAGAGAAAATTCTATTGCAGAAGATTTCTGATGATGAGAAAAAATTAGAAGAACAGCGTCTTATTGATGCCTTGGAAGCCGAAGAAATTGAAAAGAGTAAAATGACCTTTCTGCAGAAAGTCGTAAAATTTTTCGATTTAGATTTACTGAAAGATTTCACATTTGTCAATCTAAGTATGGGTATCACAATTATGATGTTTGGTGAAATGAATTTCTCCGTCTTGACGCCGTTTATATTGAATAGCTTTGGCTATGCCAATGAACAGATATCGTTAGCCATGTCGCTATTGGGTGGCATGGATATATCGGTGCGATTCTTAGCACCGTTCGCTTTAGAGAAAGTAAAATTGGATAATCGAGTATTATTCGCCTTCGGTATAATTGCGATATCGATTGGTCGTTTAATTGTTACACTCACCAGTTCATATAATGTCGTGGTAATAGTGTTCATAATGATTGGTTTTGGTAAAGGTTTTCGTACATTATTCTCGCCATTAATTCTGCCAAGCTATGTACCTTTGCGTCGACTGCCGGCTGCCTCCGGCTTACAATTGATATTCAATTCAATATTTTCTTTTGTCTGTGGTCCCTTACTCGGTAATATTTTCTATTTTTTGAATGGCTACAGTTCTCGCTATAAAAATATTTATTTTTATTTTGAATATTTCAGGTCTGGTCACTGACGCTTATGGTTATAAAATAACGATACATTTTATTAATACCATGACCTGTATAGCTTTGTTATTATGGTTGGCCGAGTCAATAGTGCGAAGGCTATTAAATAAGAAGAAACTGGCGGCAAACGAAGGATAAGAATGTTTCCTATATAAACATAGAACGATACTTAAAATTTTAGCAAAAACAAAAACTTTACAAATTTATTTAATATTAGATGTAGTTTTTGAGAGTATTTAAATATATGTTTATTAGGGTGTCTGGTGGATCTCATTAGACCGTTAATGCAACTAAGCTCTTAGGAGATATATAGTTCTACTAATTAGCCATATTCAACGTTCAGTATGTAAAATTTTTTTTTTATAAAATTCACTTTTATAGCGAATTCCGCTAAAGTTCATTTTCGCCCAAACGTAAAAAAAACATTGAGCATGGCTGGTCTAGAGCGTAGTTGGCCAAATGTTGTTTTCATATAAACATATAATTCTTATTTATTTTATTAGTGGGTTCTTAGTATGAGAAACTCTTAAATGAGTTTATTTATTTTTTTTTGAAAAAATAAACATTTGAATTGAATTCGTGTGAAAAGAACTGCAAAGCTAATTAAGTTATGCATCTGGGGAAAAAGTGTTGAGAGATTTTTTAATTATTTTTTATTAAGCATTTCATTCATTCAAAATGAATTTTATTTAAATATGTTGTGCCATTTTTCGGGAAACTGCATAATACCATCTTATTACTATTTTATGTAATCTAAGAAAGTGTGTAACCATTTTTAAAACATGTACCGATACCAGTACACGCAGCGCAAATCAATTGTATATATATAACACAAAAAACATTTATATAAAATTATAAAATTTATTAACGTGTACCGAAAACAGCACACGTGACGTGTCGTGAATATAGGATCTGCTCATAAATTGCTTAGGAGAGTACATGTCAAGTAGAAAGTAAAGAAATCAAATTTGAAAAGCGACTTAATACACCTACTATACTGGAATTTCGATAACGTAATATCTATAAGATCTGTCGATCGCAGATTTAACTACGCACGCGCCCCATATTAAGTTAGTAACATCTTATGATGTAATGATTATCGATAGACGTGTTGGATACCTAAGAATAGCTTTAACCTGAAAACATGTATGTCGCGATTGATTTGCTTTAATCTCGTGAAACCTAGAGTGCTTTAGGGGATGTCGGAGAGGAGCTTACAAATCATTGATAAATATCGTTCTGCATTAAATTAGTCCACGCTATTAACCAAAAATTCACAAAACTTGAAGTGACGGTCTATGAAAACCTATAACACAATATTGGCCAACTCTGCTCTGATATATACATATGTATATATATATACATATATGTAGTTGCATATGTTATAGCATTTACTATTTGAAATCGTAAATAATTTATTTTTGGAATTTAATTTTCTTAATAATAAAAAAAAAAAAAATATTTTTTTAAAAACCAAAATCCTTTGATGCATAAATGTATGGTAAGCGTGTATGATGTTTACATCATTCACTTAACCCAATTAAGGTACGATTCTTCCACAGGTGGTTTGATTTGATAAAAAAAAAAAAAAAAAAAAAAACCGAGTCATGCGCAATTCAAGAACCTTTACTCTTCGACAATTTGACGGCGTATACGAAGAGAAATGCTGTCGTTTTGTTCCCTACATTTCGGAACAAATGATAAGATAAATAAAGGAACCGAGTGAAAATATCTCAAATAATCACTCAACACAATACTTTCGCAAAAAAAAGTTCCATAATAAATGAATGAATGAATGAATCAATGCGCATTGAGAACAAAGCGAAAATCGGGCATTGATAAGAGCGTTTAACGTTCGCTTATTAAAATTCAAATGAAAATAGTGCAACCAGTGTCAGTGTATGAAAATGTGTATGAAATATTTAACAATTTCGGTTAAACTATTGTGCTTTGAATGAAAATCGGAAGGAAATATTTTTCAAACGAAAAATTAACGCATTGAGTGAAATTTTGTGCGTTCGGAAAACCAACTGCATGTTGAGAAAAACAAAAAAAAACAGAAACTCATCACTGACCTTGAGATATAATACGTACATACGTTATACAGTTTTAGATTAAATAAATGTATAAAAACAATTACGTATTAACGATTGAAGATTAAAAGCGTTCGCATATTGTTTTACACTTGACGTATGTACATGGATTCAACTGAGCGGAGAAAAAAATGCATCTTCTTTAGTTTGAAAGAAAATAGGAAAGAAGAATGTCGTACATCGTCCATTAGTTTATGTCATCAGTTTCATGTGGTGTGTGTGTGTGTGTGTGTATGCGTATATATATATATATATACAGGTGACCTTCGCTTAACGTGGTTAAGTTATATCGTACTTCTTCGAAACCGTGTTATACGAAATTTCCAAAATCTTTATATTAACTAAATTATTATATAGAAAAATGCATTTTAATCGTGAATAATATAAAGAGAAAAAAAAGTTAAAAAAAAGATTGTGTATCGCGTCGTATCGAAACTTTATTCACGTGGTATTGGGGCCGTTTTACACGATGCCTTGATATGATGTATGAATGTGCACCATATACCGTAGCATGTTGTGTCGCAATCTTATTCGCGTTGTGTTAGGATCGTTTTACACGATGCCTTGAATCGATGTAAACCAGTGCAATGACTGCCGTAGTGGATTGCATCGAAATCTTATTCGCATAGAATCGGAACCGTATTGTAATATTCCGTGTTGTATCCAAACCGTACTTTCCGTAGGACACCTGTATCTATCTGATAAGGTATTTCAAGAAGACGTTAGTCTATCTACATATATATATATATATATATATATATATATATATATGGTAGCCATATGAATGAATTATACAAATACTTTGGAATCGAGCAGATGTATAAATAAATAAAATTGATTTATTGAGCACAACAATTAAGCTGTTGTTGTTATTGTTGTTGTTGTTGTGAAAAAATTGAAAAATAAAAACATGAAAGGAGAAAAACCAAAAAAAAAAAAAAAAAACACTAATGTAATTATTAAATAAAAAGAAAATTCATGCCAAGGTGCTGCTAGTGTTTTTTATAGTTTGTTATCAAACTGTTTGGTTTTACGTACCGATACGCGTGTTTGCATTTTATACGTACACAACGTGCATCACATGTGTATCTTTAGTTTATCAAATCGGTTATTATGATAATAAATTGATAACGTTTACTAATTTTATTCACATTTGTTGATTTAAGCGTACACATGAAGTACTGTGCACAACTTTTACCTAACACTTAAGCACTTAAGCGATATATTTTCATATATTGTTTTTTCTATTACTTAGTTAACTTGGTTAAAAAACATTTACACAAAGACATTAATTAGTCGATGATAATAAAATATAGATTCACTTGCAATTAATGTAATGTAATATTGTTTGTGATTTAAAAATAGTTTGAAATTGTAAGACCGTACGTCTGGATAGAAAATTTATTCAACGCATATCGATCGGTAATCGAAAAAAGAAATTTATCCTAAAAAGATAACAATGCAAAATTAAGCATAAAATGTATTATACGAGTCAATAGAAGATATAGAAGAAATTTTGCTTTCATCTATTTTGCTATAATCATTATAATCAAGGCGTATATTTCACTGGTCTTGCCGTAAGCTAACTTTAAGATTTACGCGTTACTTGCAAGCCATGGAAATGCAAATCGGGAACTCCATCCATTACATATGTATGGTGGGCTAATTGACAAATTGACAGAGCAAAAAAAAAAATAATAATAATAAAAAAAAAAAAAAAGTTTTAATGAACTTAATATAAGAAAGTAAGCAATAATACGCATCCCTTCGAACCAATCGATCTATAAGAAAAGCCAAAAAATTACTTTATTAAATGTGTGTGCATCAGATTGTGTTTGGCCACTTGGCCAATTTCTATTGGTTTATTAGCTGACTTATATAGATTATTATAAACAAAAATTTGTTTGTTGCTCACGTAACCGTCGTCGCGTCGACGTTTCACATCCATTTTTCAAGGTCCATCAATGGCCGTTGACCAACAGCGCATATGACGACTTTCAGCTCTCAACTTCATTTACCAATAAACATATTATACGATAGTGGTAGAGATAGAGAAGAAGCAGACAAATCGACTTTGCATTCTTTGCATTGATCAAGTTTATAGATACGCTTCGAGCGTTACACTATGTGCGCTGTGTGTGTGTGTGTGTGTGTGTGTGGTTTTTTTCTCTTTTCTTTTTTTTTTTTTTTGTTTCTTCTTAAACAGCCACTTAAGCGATGTCCCGCTCTAAGTGTGGGCATAAACTTGGTCAGAAAGGACTTTAGGTAAACGGAGTGGGAATAAGGAAACATTTGGAACTGGGAGAAAGTCCGCTGCAGCTTCTAAAGGCGGTCATAGCGATTCAAGATCGATACTATGTTGTTCTGCGTGCGGATAATCCTAGGAAGAGGGAATTACGAATGCTAGGAAAATCGCCTAATAGCCCTATGGACAGATTTCCCTTATCTTTCGCGCAGTTCACGCTGTAGCTGCTACAAAGGAAGACTCCATTCCATCCTTCTGTGTTGGGCCTAAAAATGATTTCATTTTGGCTATACCCTCTACATAGAAGATCTAGATATAATGAGTAAATTTAATCCCGCCAAGTATAAATTCCTTAATGAAATTATTGCGCGAATACTTATGTGAATTATTATTTTGGTATATTGAATTGTTGTGAAAACATTTTATCTGATGGGACAAATTTTTTGAGGCCCTTATCGTATAGTCGCTTCTTATTACCCAAATTGGTCTATAATAATATATAATGTGGCATAGAAAGTAACTCTACTATTATTATTATGTGTGTGAGCGGCCTAAAAGATCTATTGTACTCGTTCGTGCTCCTTGCCTTTTTTGTAAGCCCCTCAAGATCAATTATTTAATTCGGAAATTATATGGAACATAAATTCGTTCTCTTGATCTGCAATGAAGACACGTAACCATGATTGCCAAAATGTTTCTCAAAATAAATGCTTCTGCCCAATGGGTTAGACGCTATGTAGCTATGTACTCTTTTTAGGTTGAGATAACGGATAATGACCTTAAGGGATTTGGATCTTATTAGTTAGTAGTTTAGTATGTGCAGGTTTCGATCTGCTTAAGATATATTCCACAATTTTTGGGAAACAATTTTCTGTAAGTAGTTTATAACGAAAGCCTTATTAATATGTCTTTCACTGCAACGAAGACTTTGTCTTTGCTTGGTTATAAAAACAGAAATTGTTGTTGTTTTTTTCATTTTTAACAATGTGTCCCTTCTAGATTGGGTTTTTACTACTAATATACACTTTTGTTTTTTATTTTTTTATTTTTTTTTTTTTTTTTGATGTAAGGAAAACTTACAACTTTCTAGATTTTTTGATTACGAAATCAAATTAACGATCGTGTAATAATCGGAATTTGTTTCCCTCTTAGAAAATCAATGTAAAGAAAGCTAAATATTACTATTTTTCATCCGAAGAGTTTTTCATAACTGATCTATTGGAAAAATATTCATTACATTCCATTTACATCTGTCTTGCAGTCTTTGGGCTTTTCTTCGATGACCTCTCACAAGTCTCTCAAAATTTTAAGCCATAAAACTAATTCGTAGTCCTTCAAGTTCTCGAGGACGTACGTACATGGTCCACATGAGAGGTGTGTACGATCTCTTATAACACAACTGACCGGTCGTAAAGTGCCCGCTTACCTTATTTACCGGGATCGAATGTAGAACTTGTTGTCACCGTAAATTTTCAACGTTTAATATATCAGGTGATCGGTCACTCAGGCGGATGGGAAAAGATCGAATTTCTAATATTAATTTACAAAAAAAATTGCTCATAGGTCTTGTATGTTTTGTACTCGATCTTATGCACTCAGGAATTGTAAGCTTTTACATAACGAAAGTATATAATTTTTTAGTAAAATAACTCTACTAAACTTGAATAGCGAAATGTAATTTCCTGGACTCTCAACGCCCCATGTAAAAGTTCTCATGCGACGTAAACTTGTATATGGCAAAAAAAAGAGAAATTTTTACAACTTTATAAAGAAAATACACGTTTTTCGATCCACCCCCATACCGGGATTATGGGGATAGATGGGGATGGATTGTCATTAAAAGTATGCCCCTGCATGAAAACACGGCCTAATTTTTGTTTTTTTTTTTTATCATGAAAACAAATGAAGAATTGTATTAGGCGAAGTATTAAACGTTCCGCCTTACTTGATATTTGAGTATAGTCTCCTTGAAGAACAAAATCTATGCCGGTATCTATGACTTGCACAAGCATTGAAACCTGACAAAGTCAAAAAAAAAAAGAGAGAGAGAGAGAGAGAGAGAGAGAGAGAGAGAGAGAGAAATGTTACTACATTATTTAAATCATATACTTAATCACAGATTAGGACGAATACTTCAGGTTAAAATTGTTGTTGATAACGGTCGCTTTCATAAAATTAATTTTATAGTTTAGCGCAATACTTGAGAGTAGACAAAAGCCCAAAAAAAAAGAAAAAAAGAAAAAAAGAAAAGAAAAATCAAAGGCATTACAGTCCACAGGTGAATTTTTTCTATATCTCATAGCAATTATTGCGCTTAAGCGTTTCAAAAGGCAAGCAAGAAAATTCATTATTATTAAAAACATGCACGTACTCACCGCTCTAATCAGCCTAAATTAATGATGGTTGTATATTTAAATGCAAATACACATTCGTACACATCGATTTGGTCGTAAATGTCAAACGACATTAATTGAGTCGTTAATTTCCTACCTTATCGATGAAAGACCTCAGCAAAAAAAAAAACAAAAAACAAAACCCGCATATTTGTCTGTGCATAGTATTTAAGAATCCATACTTTTAGACATAACGTGATGCATTCTTAAGTTAACAATTAAACTTAAAGTATAAAAAATTAAAAATTAAAAAGAAGAAAAAATAAGAAGAATAAGAATAAGAAGAAGAAGAAGTAAAGAACTATAACATAAAACAAGAGCACATACGCGTAAACCCTTAGACGAGCGTCACATCGAAACGGGAAACATGTTTATTAACACATAAGACATATGCATGGCGATGAAAATAGATTCGTTCCATACCCTTCATGCTCTTACTTTATTACTTACCATTATTCTATATGCGCATGTTCATTTTTCTGCAATAACTATCGCCTTCAGATTTGAATAAAATCCAATATAAATTTTATTATGTTTCCGATTGAAATCTTATTGATAGGAAAGCTGGTTGCTGGTCGCTGGTTCCTCTGTAAAGGGCTCGCTGTACATTAAATGTACAATATATATATTTTTTTTTATCTTTTTATTTTTTCATATTTTTCTTCTATGGCATCATTATATTAACCTTGTAAGCAGCGTAATGATCATTTACTTTACTAAATTTATGGACGAATTGATTTTTTATGAACGCATTCAAGTTTCTCAAAAAAGCATATATAAAACTCAAGCATTGAAATAGATTTCGTGCAGACCTTTTGATTTCATAGCCTTCATCAGCGAACAATGGCGACCGGCTCTGATAAAGGTAAAGAAGAATTATGCTTACCGGTCTATCGTGCGACGACTTTACCACTCGAAGATTCAAAAAATAATTACACAGTAAAATATTTAAAACCTAAGAAAAAGCGACGTCACGATAAAAGCGATTTAGGCGAGAACTTTATAGCTCCTGATGGTGGCTGGGCTTGGTTAGTGTGCATCGCTGCGGGCATATCAAATGTAAGTGTTATTGATTTCAGGCCATTTCTCTTCTCTCTTCGCTTTTTTTTTTTTTTTTTTTTTTTTGATTTTCTTACAGTCTTTATGTTCTTCTTTCTTTCGTTTATTTATTTTATTCTTTTTGTTTATTTTTTTTTTCTTGTTTACAGTTAACAGTTTATCCCTGCCTGGTATTGTTCGGTTTTATATTTCGCGAACATTTACAAGTTTTGGGCTTAACAAATGCTCAAATTACTACCATAATCAACACTAATCCGGCCATTTCAGCATGTTCAGGTGTGTGACTCATATTGTCAGAGAAGTAATGATACTTCAAATTACCAACAGTTTATATGCTTAGGTTTATTGAATGGACCAATGTTTCGTCGCTTCACATTTCGTCAAGTAGCCATAATGGGCTCCATATTAATATTCATTGGACTTTTCTTGACGGCGTTTTGCGAGACATTTCTCTCATATGTCTTTACCTATTCATTATTATATGGTAAGAGATTTGATTGGAAACCAAGAAACAAAAAAAAAAAAAAACAAAAAAACAAAAACTCTCGAATACTATGCTTCACCTATTCCATTCCCGATAGGTTTCGGTATGGGCATAAGTGTCTCAGCCTCTAGTCTGGCTGTAAACACTTATTTCAAGGAAAAACGTAGAAGGGCAGCAGGCTTCACATGGTCGATAACGGGCTTTCTACCAATTCTTTTACCTCATCTTGTCACTTATCTATTGGCTGTGTATGGCGTTCGGGGTACAGTTTACATATTTGCCGCTCTCTCTCTGCACAGTTTTGCTTGTGCTCTTATCTATCAACCAGTTCTCTATCACGTTCCAAAACCAATAGTAGTCTTACCGCCATTGATAGCATCCGAAACGATGACAGAATGCAAATATTGTGCACTGCTAAAGCATAGAGAAGTAAATATAAATTCGTCTCAGCACTTAAGCAAAGGGGATGATGAGTATTCACCGGGCTTCGAAATAACTGAACCGGGGACACCCATGTTGTCGCGCGTCAACGACGGTTGGTTCGGTTCAAAAGTCTCCCTATCCTCGGATAGGCCGCGTTTACATCGACTATCATCCAGTTGCAAAGATTCCGAAAGTACTGCGCTACGTCAAAGGGACGAGGAAGAATTAAGGCGTGGAAGCATTTACAAATCGAGCAACTTTAAAAGAGGGAAAGATGAATCTTTGAGTAGAGGGAATTCATTAAAATCGGAATCATTGAAATGCACTTGCAATGATCAAAGAAAATTATTAAATGATACAAAAATTGCCGAAGAAGAATCGATGAAAATTGATGAGCCAGTAGATAAGGCAATAAGTATGACATTTTTCCAAAAGGTTATTGTCTTCTTTGATTTGGATTTATTAAAAGATTTCACTTATATTAATCTGGTGGCCGGCTTAACGATGATTAATTTCAGCGAATTGAATTTCTCGATACTTACACCATTTATATTAATAGATTTCGGCTTAACTACTAATCAGATAACACTTTGTTTGTCCGCTTTAGGCGGTCTAGATTTAACTACACGCTTCTTGTTACCATTCTTAATTGAGAAAATCGCTTGGGACAATCGTGTATTCTTTTTAATTGGCGTAATAGGCATGGCGACAGGCCGCACCATAGTCGCTTTCATACATTCTTTCCCGGTAATTATTACCACATTCGCAATTATGGGCATTTTTAAAGGTGTACGCACTATATTTTGGCCATTGATTATACCAAGTTGCGTGCCTCTAAAACGATTGCCGGCAGCATCGGGCTTACAATTACTTATTTCCGGTATATTCACTCTAATCTCGGGACCTTTCGTTGGTAAGTATTTACGTAAGTGCTTTTTCGTCTTCGTCTTTGTATTTTGTATAATTGTATTTTTATTTTTTTTTAATTTAGGTTTAATACGTGATCGTTACAATTACGCCGTAACACTTCATTGCCTAAATATTATGACTTTTACCGCTAGCTTATTATGGACGATAGAAGGTTTGGTACGCCGTTATTTTCGTAAACCCTCTAGTTTTTGCAAAGAAAATGAAAACTTATAACGAATTATATTTTTGATTTTTTATAATTACTTTATCAATTTTTACTATTTTAATAAAATTTTATAAGTACAACTTTCCCGAGTTTTATTTAATTATTTTCTATAACGCGCTACTTAAGCGAGCATCAAAAAGTAAGAACATTTTCCCGACACTTTTGTACCCCCACCACCTTATTGTTAGAAATCAAAAGCGAAGAATATCGAATTCCAACCCTCTTCTTTAATATTATGTGGCTCCGCTTATGCAAAATTATTTTATATCATATGGAAATTTTTTAAGTAAAAGCAAAAAAAAAAAACATTTTTCTTGCTTTCGACAAAAGGGAGAGAGTTCTTCATTTATGTGGACGCGTTCTTTGGCCAATTTAGCCCATGTTCAATACTAACCGACGTGCAGGAACTTTCAACATGTTTGCCATAGTTAAAATCGATATCTTAATTTCCGGGACCGAGAGACATCGCACAAACGAAGAGAGGAACATCCGCAAATCGATTCAAAATTTGTTACTGATCATAAATATCTATATATCTTATAGCGGCGTCCACGTGGGTAGTTTATACATCGCTTGTTTACAACAAAATGATAAAATATATGAACTCGCTTAGCTTAGATTGTATGCACTTTTTTTTATTATTATTAAAGCATTTCTTTTATACGAGAATTTTAAAGCATACTTTTAGTTGTTTAATATTTTCAATTAACCAATATGACACTTCATGTTGCCAGATTATCGTTGAAGAGGATTTACTAAATATAAAAAAAATAAATAAAAAATAAAAAATGCACATTTTCTTAATCATCATAAGTTTGTCAGGTCTCTCTGTACATATTCGCTATGTCGCTAGTTCGCCTGCTTATCTATTGTTATAACGCGTCACACTCATCACACACCAAAATCTGCATGGAAAACAATAATTTAAAGTTTTCCTATTTTTTATATAAACAAACATCAATTACGAAAACTGCTTGTGATCTCCGCCCAACTACACTTATAATGATCGCGAAATCATTGCCTTTTCTTGTTTCATCTTTTTCAATTCTGTACTAGTATACCCTGGCTATAGGTCAATTCGTCCATTTTGAATATCAAGAAATAGGCATCGAATACCCCATAAAGGGTATTATATATATATATATATATATATATATATTTGCTCAACATAAGCGATCCAATCGATTTAAGTCTATGTGTTCATCCGTGCATAAGAGAAATTAATTGAAAGTCTGATATGTACATACATTCTAAAGGCAACTGCAAGTCCTATATAAACATAATCCCGATTGAGCAATTTAACGCATACTTATTAAAGTGGTTATATAATATTTGTTAATGTATGTTGATGTATTGAATATTAAAGTGACTTGATAACTGACTCACTTATTACGTATTGGGCTGAGACGAATATACCTTTCTTAGCTTTTTCGTTAATATAATGAAAGACTATTCCGTCATAAATTCTATCTAATTGGATATACAGTCTTATTGGATTTTTCCTTGTTGTTTTTGGTTTTAAACAAAGCTTGCCACATATACGCTTCGTTTTTAGTGCGTCAGAAAAATGGAACATTGCAAGGCAATGTTTACAATAAGATTTCTATGGATTTGTAATTGTTTTTTGCATCTCTTATTTATTCTTTGTTTTCATTCATTACACCCTACACTACCTTCGATGCAAGATCATGTATGCAAGTTTGCGCGAAAGCCCGCCCTTTCTTATGCCGATCGATTCAAAGCTTGTCTATCGATCCTATTATGTTATATTCAACCTAAAATCTTCAACTTTTGAAATATTTTGATGAAATTCGATACACTGATCTCTTTTATCCCAAAAACACTATTGAAAATGATTTAAATTGAACCACTTCGCCGATCACTTTGCCTACTATAAAATGTCATTGAGTCTTGTAAGGTATTTGGTGGTGGTCCGTGACCTACAACAGAATTTTTGCTTGTTTTTATTATATAAATTTGTGAAAATTTTATAAAAAAATAAATTAAAACACAAAAAAAAAAATAAACAACATAGGATTAACTAATTGGAGTAAAAAATAAAAAAAATAAAAACCAAAAAAAAAAGGTGAAACATATTTTCCGATAAAGCGATGAAAGATACGATTACTTTACCTTGAAAAACAATGAGTCGCATAATCGATTGTAATTTTTTTGTGGACAATATTTTTTATTCACGTTCATATCATTTTCAATACAATATTTTGCTTAATTACATTATATTACAATATAATTATACACACAAGTATTTATATGACTTCTTCTCATATCTTTTACATTTTATAGCTACCATCTTCGATGTAAAAAATGTTTTCTTTTTTTCTTTTTCCAAATTCAGTCAAAGCATCGTTTTCATCATCCATACCCAAATGTTAATTGTTAAAGCACTTTTTTGATACCTTTTATAATTGTTATAAATATATCTTGATGTATTTTTAACGGAAACTTTATAAGAAGAAGATATATATGAACTCTATAAAATCTTAATTTGGATTTAACCATATCCTGTATTTGAGTTTCTTTCAAAGTTTACAATTTGAAAAAAAAGAAAGTATAATAAATCGAATATCATTCAACTTTTTGGAAATCTCCGATTTTCTCCCCCTTAACGAATATGAAATTATTTAGTGAACAACATTACATACGTAATCTATGGCCATAATTAAATGTTCATTGTAACATTTTAATGTTTTTCGGATCTATGGTTTCATTGCACCGAAGCACAAATTGAATTCAAGCTTAGTCTTAAGCAATGTTACGTTTAAAATTTCTATTTTCTCTCCAATCACAACCGCAACAAAAGGGGAATCGCTGCTGCTCCAATAATCGAAATTTTTGATATCCATCAATAGTTTCTATACGAAGTATTTACGAAATTTGAGTTATTGATATAACAAAGCATACTTTTAGGCGATTTAGCGACAACATATAAGATATTGTAGAAATTGAGAAGCAAAAGCTGTTTAAGCAAATAAGCTCAACTATTTAATACGCTCCAATACCCCGCCTAAGGCAGTTCGTCATTTCGATACCTTAGACCATTTACACTGCAGGATGTATGCGGACATATGAAACATTCAAAGGGATCTTAGATAGATTTACCTTTTGGTATACCGATCAATTCAGAATCGTTATACATTATAAGTATATGCATATGATGCATATGCATTTACACCACAAGTGTGCATTAAAATCATGTTTATTTTTATCATATCATCGCATAGTTTTCCGGCAATTGTAAGCGAATTCCTGATCCGTTATAATCAACTTTCGAACTTAGTATAAGAATTTTATAAATGTATTTAGAGGTACTACAGACAGCATTGCCCATAGCATATGCGTTCCATTTTCTCTACATTCATCTGCTATAGACTATGAGTAATCAACAAAAACCAATTTTTTATTCCTTTTGACAAAACAGAGGTGTTCTCAGTGCACGTGCATCACATACTGTGGGCATGTCCTTTCATCGATTTAGCCTATTTTCAACGTCAACTTGCGTGCAAGAACTATCATTGCCTCTGCCAAGTTTGAAGTCGATAATTTCATTTTTGCGGCCAGGAGAAGATCTACAACAGACATTACCGATAGACCGACAGACAGACGGACATGCTTGAATCGATTTAGAATTTCACACTGATTAAGGATATGTTATACTTTGTAGGATCTCTTATGCCTCGTTTCGGGCGTTACAAACGTTTCGACATAATGAATATGCCGCTCATCCTTTGGTAGTGGGTATAAAAATCAAAACTTGAGATTCAGTTTCTTCTTCCTTTTATTCAGCGGGCAGATGAAAAATAGAGTTTGCTTAAATCGATTCCGCTATTCATGCTCATCTAGAATGCTTACGCAGATCGCAGCCCGTTACAAGTATTTCATAAATCATTTACAGTGGCACTGAGAAGCTAAGAATAAATCTCATCAGAATTCTTTGATTTCGGTTACTTATGATTGATTTAAGATCGACTTAGTAATAACTTGGTAACAACTTTTTTTATAAAACTAAAGGGTAAAGACGAACTCGTAGCATTTCTCCTCCTTCCGCTTATTGTTCATAATTTGATCGCGATATATATATGTTTAGGATTAAACTGAGGATTCATTTTAACCATCGATAACTGCGGTTAATAAGGACGTTTTATATTTATAATAGATCTGAAGATGGCAGATAATAATCCATCATTCGGCTTAAGTCCGAATACCATGCTCTTATTACAATAGCTGTTATCTTCATATAAAAAGTCACTTAAAACTTTTGGTTTAATTAAAACTAAAATTAAATTGAATTTAATTAAAATGTTCTTATATATGTATACATATAGATAGAAATCGGACAAACATAAATACTTCACTATGAAATATAATACAATAGAAGACAATGATGAAATAATGAGATAGAGAGAGAGAGAGAGAGAGATAGAGGGAAGGCAAAGAAGGTTTCAATTAATAAAACTATTATTGCTTATCGTGGTGATGGTGACATTGTGGGTTTCCTAGTTGTACGTTTTCCTTTGGTCAAATCCATTATATTGGCGGATGCGGATGCGGATGTTGTCGTCTCTAAATTATCAGGCGGCGTAACAATCGTGATAACCTAAATGTATGTACATGAGTGCGATGTTAATGTAAGTGATAGCGATATTTTTTATGGTCATGTGCATGTGCATGTGCATGTGCATGTGCGTGTGCATATGTAATTGTTTATTTCAAGTTTTTAAAAGAGATCATAAAACAAATGTTTTTAAAATTCATTACTGGATTTCGATTTATAAAGATTTACTTTCGAATTGCCACCAATTATCTCGACCGGTTGCTTGGACGTGTAAGTTGATAAGCCCTTGAGCCCGAATAGATCAGATCCGAACAGCATTTGTTGTAAACTTTTCGCTGAGCTCTTATTATTGTTTGTGTCTAAAAATTTTGTTAAATTACTTGCTGTGAATAGAGATGGGAAGGGTTCAAAAAAAAAAACAATTTTTGTTAGGGAGGGCAAGGATAAGTTTACCTATGTTAGGTAACTAAATCAGTAAATCAGGACTAATAAAGTTAAGTATACTGTTGTGTTATATATGATACTCACCGTTGCCTGGTGTAGGCCTAACCACAAATCTGGGTGACTTAAAGGCACTGCCGAGACCGGTGAAAAACTGTTCGCTAAAAGTCCGCGGATGAAAGCGCGGCTGCGGTGTAACAACATAAACTTTTTCCTTAGTTTGCGGTGATATCGTCACCTGGGCTTTCTTCCATAATTCCCTTGATTCCTCTTGAGCTGCAATATTTCTTATATATGTTAACGTATCGGTAGTAGTTGTTATTGATTTGGCAGTGCTAGAATTTATAAACGTTGTCAGAGTATTATTTTTGCTAAAGACATTTCTCTCATCGGTATCCTGTAAATGATTGTCTTCTATGGGGGTGTAGTGAAACTTTATAGATCCTCTATCTTGCAATAAAGGCTCCAAGTTATTAATAGAGATAGGAAGTCCAGGGGAGCTTTCAAATTCTTTTGTGGTTTTTGACTGACGTTGCGGTTTCATCGTCGTTGTCGTTGTCGTGGTCGTTGTGGTGGGCAAATACTCCGAAGGTATTTTCTTCGATCGTCCTCCTATAGTAGGTGTACTAGGTCTATGCGAGAGCGAAGTGTATTCCTGCTCCGTCCAACCATCAATATTTTTTTGCAGTTTTGAAATATCGAAGCTCAAACCGTTCGCTGGTAATGATTTATTCCTTGGATTCACTTCAAGTTCCCGCTGTAGAAGTTCCCGTAAATTTGAAGCTAAAATTTTTGTTAAATATTTCGTATTTCTCGGCGAAGGAGTTGTATTGGAAGAGAAAGGAACACCCTGAGCTTTAACTCCTATTAACATAGATTCTTGCGGAGTATGCAGTTCATTCAGATGACTATATAATCCGGCTAAGGGATCTTTAGTGATTGCGCTGTCACGTGTGCTTTCAAAAGGTCGAGGCTTTATCTTGGTTGCATACGGTATAGAATATTTACTAAGCTTGTTGTCAATTAGCGTTGGTAATCCAGTTGGAGATGTGCCAACAAAATCCCTACTAGCCTCAATTGCCCTATAGGTCGACGTCGATGTGGTGGCAGCAGATGATACGGTATACGGGAGCCATGGTTGTGTATGGCCGCCCTTAGTATTAATAACTGCCTGCGAAAATTTTTGGTTAATATCTGTTGAACGAAAACCCAAACTGGATGGGTCTTTTGTAAAAGGCCTAGGAGCTCCCTCTTTCTCCCCCACATGTTGTATAGGGGAATCCAATAAACGTTTTGGTGTTTCACGCTGTCGCGTTTTGAAACTTAACGCATTTGATGTATCTTGCTTGAGACGCTGTATATCGGTTTGTATGGAAGCTATAAGATCCACAATGTTCTCTCGAGAGCTCTCAGTAGATTCAGTTTCCGTGATTGTAGTTTGAGTAGTGGTTTCTTCTTCTTGGCTAAATACATTTTCGGATGGGGTAGTGGAAAAAAAGAATTCCTTAGATTCTAGAGGCCACGGGTCTGCAGATTGCTGCAGTATGGTGACATTTTGCGATGAAGCCGCTGGAAAATTATCTATATCGTACATAAAAGCTTGACTGGAGAATTGTGGTGATGTAGGCGCATTGTCTTGCCCATTATAAGTTGGCGAGGACTTTGTAGACTGCGAGATGTCGGCAGAAAGCGCCACGTCGTTGATAAAACTACCGGGCTCGGTAATGATTTGCGAAGCTGGTACGTGGTCATTTAAATTTGGATTAAGTGTTTCATAGAGATAACGTCCCGTACTAGTATCTGAATACGCGTCTGTATCTGGCTTGTGGTTAGGCGGCATAGTAGTACTGCTAACCATATTTATATCGATGGCCTTAGTATGTACGAACGTTGCTGGATATTCTATGGAAGATACAAATTCCGTTAGCTCATGACTTTTTACAATCTCAAATGTGGAATCCCTTTGAGGCGTGACCGTTGAAAATATGTGATTTGGTCTAAGGGTATTCGAATGTATTTCTGAGGAAGCGGCCACATTCTGATGGAAGTGAGCTGGTTCCGTTGACGGTAATTGTTGAAAGTATGGCGCAGAGCTTGGACGGTATGATTGAGATTGGAATTTCGGCGCCACAGCTGGACTATTAAAATTGGGCGTAACTATGGGTAGAAATGGTCCCGAAGGATATGGTTTTTGAAGAAAATTTTTGGGATTATTGTTTGGTATATGGAAGAAATTCGGATGAGGAAAATGAAATTGCACCGCTCTCTGTTTTACTATAGAAGACGCTTGTTGCAACTCCTGAGTGGATTTTGCTCCATGCACGGCGGCTTGAGGAGCCCATTGATTAGTTTGAGCAAAGTGTACGCTATTGGGAAACATCGGCATCCAGGGATATTTATTGCACAAATTACAAAGCTCTTTACCATTGGCGTCATATTGCTGAGGTTTAGGATAACTATACAACTGTTTGTTCGACGCAGCTGGCATATTTGAATCCGGAATTTGAGGTTTGCCATTAGAAAAACCAAACCATCGGGCTACGCGTGTCATAAAACCAGGAGATTGCTCAGGAGATTTAGATGACGATTGATTATTACTGCTGGATAGTGGGGAAGTTTGAAACTCATTGGTCTTAAAATTGAATGCTTTGGCATAATTAAATTGTGGTAACGATGGCAGAGGAGGCGGCACTAAATAAACAACTGGCGCTGGGGCAACACCGCTAGCAGATTGTGATAAATTAAATACTACAATTAATAGCAAATACAATGTAGGCAGAGTAATTTGTACGATTGATACGATCTGAAAAGATATTGAGTTGAACATGTATTAGTAACGATTCGCCGGAGAAGTAATTCAATCCTGTATGAGAAAAAGAAAGAATTATTTTTCAATTACATCACATGGAGTATTCCGTTGAGCATTGAAGTCAAAGTCTCAGGACATTTTTCGATTTTTAAATGATTGAAAAAGTTTAAAAAGAAGCCATAATCACATTGCACTTGAAAAATGCATTTCTGCTGATAAGAGATAAGATAATGACAATTGATTTTGTGAGCATAATCACTTTTAAATCCTTTAAATCAGTTGTGGCTTAAGCGTATAGTGTAAGTTTGTGCGGATGTATGTAACAACCAAGATGACTTGAGATAACTCCGTTTGTTATGATAGCCATCACAAGCTTGTCCGTCTGGCCTGGGCTCTTTTGTGTTCAATTTACAAATCTCAATACTTATGAAATTTGGTACAACGACATTTCTTGGACCAAGAAATGCGAACACTATTGAAAATGGTTTAGATTGGACCACCTATGTCAACTACTCCCCATTAAAAAACCACCTATTATTTTCGGAGCTCATCATATGAATCGCAGTGTTAAAGCAAGGTGTATAGAGTACTTAATGGTGAGACGTGCCCACCGTGTTTTTTTTAAAAATATTTTTAATTTTCATGTTCGTTTATATTATCATATTTCATTTTTGTTTATATTATCGTATATGATTCTGTATTATTTCTTAGTTTAAAAAAGTCTTGTAGAGAACGGTTTCGATATAGCACGATAGTAGTTAAGCGTGTTATACGAGGGACGATACCCTTGCATTTTAATAGCATTTACAAATTTTCAAACTTTGCATTTATTAACTTTTCTTTATAGTCGTAGTAATCTGAAAAATAAGATCAGCAGACAAATAGAAGGTTTACTGGAAAATAATAATCACGATATACGCTTCATTGTGTTCGCTGGCAAGTAACGCATTAATATGTGAGGCAATAAGTGTCAGCAACTTATTGTCGAACGTGTAAGGTTTTGATGACCGATTCTTACCGACTGGCCACAGTTTATGGTGTATTTTGTTGCGACTTTTGCGAAACATTCGCAACACATAAAATGCATTGCAAGTCACTGACTAATTGAATCGGCAGTAACGATAGACGGTATGTGCAAAGAGTCGTAATCAATGAGAGTCAATGACTTACATTTACTAGGAATTTCAAGTTCATATAAAGAGTTTCGATTCACAATTCCATTCCATATGAAAGTGATTCAGCGGTCCAGGAAATACACATGGGTGCGGCGCAAGACATCTAAGAGCTTCATAGATCTGTTATTACTCAATATCATAAAGGCTTTAGCTCAAGAACCAAGACCGAACCAACCGATTTTGATGATTTGTAAAGCGTCCGTCAGATATTATATAAAGTCTATTTTCGCCTCAACGAGAGAGTGCTTGTTTCATTAGAGTGCCCGTTGTAACTAATTAAAATTGGTTTCTTGTAAGAAATGTTTTCGTTCAACAAGCAAAACCGCGCGTCCATAATGAGATTCGTCTATGCCACTTTCTTGAATTTCTAGGTGATTGGGAGAATTCAACTTTAACTTTAAAATATATATATAATTAAATTTTTTTAAGGGGCAAATTTCTTGGGTGACTTTAATATCAAATTTTTGTCAACTTACATGCATACCGACCGATTGATATGTTTTGTTGCCCTCGTTTGTTTTTCTTTTCTTTTTTGAATGTTATGATTATTACATTGAAAAAGTCGTATATTGTGTAAATTGTTAGGCAATCGTTCATTCGCTGGTTTTGTGCGGATGATGACATAAAACGTAAATTATTATTACTTTAGGCCGTCATCTGCATGCGTAACATGATTTCTTACGTTTGTCCAAAAATAAATATATACATATATATATATATATATATATATATATATATATTTCTACAATTTTTTCTCTTTTTCTTTTCTTTTTTTTTTTGTTTTTTTTTTTTGTTTTACTTTTCGTATGTAACATGCAAAGTCAGCAATTGTAAACAAGGCAGTCACTTGATTGTGCGAGAGTTAATAGTTAACTCTAGACACACAAAAATCGTGCCTTAAACATACAAATAATATGTACATGAGTATAATATTAAAGAAAATCATACACACACACACACATATATATATATATATATATATATATATATACACACACACACACACACACACACACACACATACATACACACATACTCGCAACAAATGCAAATGCCTATGTTTAATGAAAATTCATTTGGCACACAAATAACAATTATTATCATAGGCTTTCCTATGATATAATAATGATGATAACAATGCTAGGCATGATCCTCAAATGCTTTATAATCGCATCTTTTTCAAATAAATACTACACTCAGATGACCCCAAAAAAAAAAAAAAAAAAAAAAAAAAACAAGTGTGAAAATATTTGCTTCAACCCTAAGCTTTCACCGGATCAGTTTGGCAAGATATCTATCTTATTATAATTAAATTATGCTATTAGTTATATGCGTTAAGTAATTAATTCATTTTAATTCAGTTATCCATTTGATTTTATCGTCGCGGGGTAACATGATTACGTGTTACATACATAAGCACAAACATGCGCAGTAATTCGTATTTTATGTTACAACATGAAACGCAGGATATCAAAGGTTTTTCGTTTTTTATATATGTAAACATTACACCTTACACCACTTGTAGTAAAAGGGTATATTAAATTTGTGTGGATGTATGCTGCAGTTAAAACGACTTGAGATAGATTCACTTTTTACTATACCGATCACTTTGTGAATCGATCTAAGCTTGTCCGTCCGTCTGTCCGTCTGTCCCTTTTGTTTTCAGCTTATAGTTCGAAATTTTAGAAATATTTTCATGAAATTTAGTATACATTGACGTGTCTTGATTCGAGCACGTAAGCTATTGAAAACGCTTCGGATCGGAACACCTTGGCGACCATTCGCGACCGTTATAAGAATAGCTGTAGGGTGATGTAACTTATTTTGGGGGATGAGTAGCAGCCCATTATGGTGCTTTCACATGTTGTGGTGATTTTTTTATGAGAATAACTGCTTACTTTTAAACAACGGTAAAAAAAAAAATTCTATTTCGAATACTGTCCCGCGTTTAATAGCGATTGCGCAAAATACTTCGGCTGTTATATATCAATTATGCGTGTAAAATACATGAACACTAATGCGCTGATAATAAAATGACAATTTAGTGACGTCAAAAAATTGCTGATCAATTTATTTTAAACTTAATTATTAGTTATCCGTAATCTGATTGAACATATTTTCCAAGGGCCGTTAAAAGATTATATTTCAACTGTTATGTACAACGCGATTGCTATAGTATTTACTCATCATTCATGCGGAATGACATAAATGCCTTAGAAAAGACGTGAGAAAAACGGACAGCAAGAAAGAGTTAGTTCGCTTTCCAGTGTCCAGATATGTGCGAAATGAAAGATGCTATAAACGAATTTGTAAATACAAAGACAAAAATAAATTTTAAAAGAAAAAGCTAAAAAAGCATTATCATAGAGGCACGTGGACGTTGTGTGTGTCTCCTTTAAAAAGTTTAGTTTAATTCCAAATTCTTTTCCAATTTTGTAAAGGATATCTTCATTTTTGCGAGCGTGAAAATGCTGATCACAATTACTACACAATCAGATAGGCGGACAGATGGACGGACGGATAAATAAACATGCTTCCATACATGCCGAATCATCCTTCGGTGATGGATACAAAAAAAAAGAACATTTTTAGAAGACCGAAATTTATTCCCGCATTTACATAAAAAAAACTAAAAAAAACATTTTTTCCTTCTTTTATACTCTCCTGCAAGAACGATACAATCAATCAAATACGTATTTAACATTTCCATTCTATTATTATAGAGCGATTGATTAAGACCCTACGCATGCGCTTCAGTTTACGCATTTTACCAAAACTAAGTCTCAACACCGTTATGGTTGCCATTGTGGCAATCGACTTTGCTGCACTGCAATACCAAAAGCGCCGCTCATTTAGAAAGAATATTTCTCAAGGTCAAATAGGGATAAGGATTTGTGTTCATATTTTCTAATATGAGTAACATTTTTGGCCATCCCGTGCCAGTCAGAAGTCTTGGTGTCCGTTTAAATGGACGGTGATGCGAAACCACTAAGAATAGTGGCCATAACACTATTCAAACCAATTTTCAATTTGAATCCAACTGTCTCTTTTGTCATCAATACACGAGACTTGAATTTCTCGATTGTTTTAAAGGTAATAAGGTAAGTAGTGTTACTAAGTGTACTGTACTACGGCACAGCTCCTATCGCATGAAAACTATGATAGACGTTACTTGCCGGCACTCTCTCAAACAAAAGAATCTCTAAGTGACAGTCTCGAGAATTATTGAACGATATGTTGTTACATGTAAAAGATACTGTCAAAGTCAAAGCACAGAACACGAGTTTTTTTCTATTTACCTCAAAGTAAAAAAAGCTACGAAGTAATAAAGAATATGAGTTCTGTGAGTTGAATCCGAAGCGTAAGAGATCGTAATATAGGTGCAAAAAGGCGGAAAAAGATATATGAAAGATTTTTAAACATTAAGTTATTAATTAAGTTAAGTCCAGTTACTCATATCAATATGTCCGCTTCGTAGTGCGTTTGCCCATCTGGGGCAAAAGTGTCAAATGTTATGCACTTTCAGATAAAAAAATTGAAATAGTAAACGTACGTCCGTAATGCGATGCCACGCATAAAACTACGCACTTATAGTGACATAAATGCAAAAATGTAAAATGAATGAAAGAAACGCTTATCTCAAAATAATTTCAAAATTTCAAAATATATTTGTCAATAAAGGCGACTTTTTCATGTGACGCGAAAACGCGAAACTTGTTTGTATTTTTTTTTTTTTTTTTTTGTTAAACAGTTCCCGACTGACCTATTAATACATATTACACTTAAATAATTGTTTTTTTTTTTAATTTATATGTGCCTTTATTTAAGGCGTTCAAGGTGGCCATGATTTGACCAAAAGCGAGTAATGTTTTCTTACCTGTTTTTTTTGAAAAACAGGTAAAAAAAAAAACTTTTCCTCTTCGGTTTTTTCTGACAGCATTCATCAACTTACTTAACGTCGCCTTTATGATTGCGCTGCAGGAAAAATTATAGCTTAGTCATGTTTTTATGCAAACGCCATACTCCAAAAAAAAAAAAATCTAAAATAGTTTAATTTTCCGACGTCATCGATGGCCGTAGCGGCCAGTTAGTTAGTCAGTAAACAAGTTTTACTTCAATGTGATTCATTTTATTATTCGTTTTTTTCGTCTTTTTTTTTTTATTTATTTTTATTTATTTATTTATTTTTTTTGTTTTTTTTTCTTTTTTTTGAAAGTGAAACTTGTCGTACATATGGTAGAAATATTTCACGTTTTTCTTGCTTCCACACTCAGCTTTTGATCTAGTTTTTCCTTAATACCTCTTTTTATTTTCTTTTTTTTTTTTATTATTTTTTTTTTTTTTTTTGTTACTCTAATGAAAATGAAATTTATTTTCATATATATATATATATATATATATGCGTATAAATATTTATTTCTAGATATTCGAACGTTGTAATGCACATGCATAATTTGAGAAGAAAGTAAAACGTGATCTTGTACTACGAATGCTCTTAAATTGAAAAAGAATCGATTAGAAATTATTCGAAGCGAAACTTTGGAAAATCGCAAACAATTTATTGATTACAATATCACAATATGTTCAGAAGGCAAATAATTGAACATTATCTTCCATAATGGGATAATTTTCGCTACTGGTGCGCATATTTTGCACAGAACGTTAATGTATTTAGTGTCATCGAGAAGTCGCAAGTAAAGCTTGCGATAAAGCCACACGCAATGACCAGATACGAAAGCCAATCAACCCAACGATAAATCATTTGAAAATTTTAATATGAAACATCTTTTGCATAATGAATGGGAAGCTCGTTGCAACCAATGTGAATATTGTAACGGCACATAAGCAAAAAAAAAACGACTTGTATACTAAGTGATTTGATTGAGAGCCTTCTTCGAATTCCTGCCAAGAAGTAACTCAGAAGTCATTTCTAGAATGCTGGATGACAATGTAACACAATAACGTTGCAAGCCTCCCCAAGACGTGCACGAACCACCGCACATTCAGCAGTGCAGCATTGTGTGAAATCTTCACCGGCTGGCTCTTCGATAGACACTTCGCGAAGTCATAGCCTGCACTCGCTAAAGAACAATACCACCTTCCAGTGACCCATAGTCCCATTGATATGTTCTCCAACGAACTGTAGGCCAGCTTGTCGCTGAGTTGTTGATCTGTACGTTATCAGGCTTCCTACGGATAGTGTACTTCTAACCGACCACCAACTGATTTCTACTCCTCTAGCTTCCTGGAACTGCTGGTGCGAGTTGAAATGCTTTCCAGCGGGAATTTTTTATTGATGTCGTGACATGCAAACGGTCATCACGCTGTATTATAACATGCTTTCAGCCGCCAGTCTCTTAATATCGCTGGCGTGCACGTCGAACAGAATATCGAATTATAATTAACTGTCGTGCCATTGGGCTTTGATTTTGCTCAGCATCAACTGGCACAATCACTTGAAACACTGCTTCCGTTATGGTGCTGACTTTCTTATTCAAAATAGTCTCTTATCCGCTAAAGAACCTTTCAGTAGTATGCAAATGATGTCATTTTTGCCAATTCTTATCCTTTTATATGTGATCAAAATTTCAGGAAATAGCGCTGCCTGCAACGCTACTGCAATGATTGTGTGTTCTTCAAACGCTAAAACCGTATAG